AAGAGGAGGAATAAAGGGAAACCAGGGTGTAGAGTTAGCAAGAGGCCCAATCACATAGAGTCCAGGGGAGGGTCTTACTCCACAAGTGGCTCAGAAGGCTGTGGAGGGTTCGAAACAGGGAGGGTGTCTTGCCTGAGGATTTTAGCCCCAAGCAAGTTCACTATGGATTCAGTGAGACCAAGAAACGACAATGGAACGTTCTTGGAGTAAAAGGGTTTATACCTGGCTTTATACTCCTGGGGATAGGTTGAGCCCTAGAATCATGTCTGCATCTAGCAGGCTGCAGGTCCATAATCCATCTCTGTCCCTGCCTCTGCCCAGAGCACTGGGCAGAGCTCTTTACATAGTGACTCAGTCAATAATAGCTTATTGCCTACAGGTTTGGAAGCTGTAGCCTGGCAACAGGCCAATTACATCATCAAGTAGTTTAGGTTCAGGTGAGGATCCTGGCCATAGGAACTTCCAGTTTCCCCACAGAGGGCCATGATCTGATTGATACCTGAGATTCTGGGCAGGTCAGGTTGAAAATTTCACATTTCACAATTTTTGCATCTGCATGCTCTTGAAAATAGAGTTAAAGACTAAAGGAAAGCTGTGTGTTGATAATGGTTTCTGTTATATAGGCACAGCCATGGGGAATGATCATTGCCTTGAAGTAGTATTTCAGGTGGCACCCCTGTCCTCATCCTCTTCCCTACTTCATTTTTCTCTACAACTCTCATCACTTCCTAGTGTACTCTATAAGGCATGCATCTATTTTGCTTGCTGCCCACCCTGCCCCCCTGGAATTGAAGTCCAAATAGGACATGGATGTCTATTTTGTTCACTGCCATATCTCCAGCACCTGGGAAAGGGCCCAGGGCACCACAGGTTTCCAGTCGTGTTTGTTTAGTGCGTGAATGGGTGCGTGGTGAGGGCAAGGGCAAGGGCTGCAGTGGAAAGAGGAGGAATAAAGGGAAACCAGGGTGTAGAGTTAGCAAGAGGCCCAATCACATAGAGTCCAGGGGAGGGTCTTACTCCACAAGTGGCTCAGAAGGCTGTGGAGGGTTCGAAACAGGGAGGGTGTCTTGCCTGAGGATTTTAGCCCCAAGCAAGTTCACTATGGATTCAGTGAGACCAAGAAACGACAATGGAACGTTCTTGGAGTAAAAGGGTTTATACCTGGCTTTATACTCCTGGGGATAGGTTGAGCCCTAGAATCATGTCTGCATCTAGCAGGCTGCAGGTCCATAATCCATCTCTGTCCCTGCCTCTGCCCAGAGCACTGGGCAGAGCTCTTTACATAGTGACTCAGTCAATAATAGCTTATTGCCTACAGGTTTGGAAGCTGTAGCCTGGCAACAGGCCAATTACATCATCAAGTAGTTTAGGTTCAGGTGAGGATCCTGGCCGTAGGAACTTCCAGTTTCCCCACAGAGGGCCATGATCTGATTGATACCTGAGATTCTGGGCAGGTCAGGTTGAAAATTTCACATTTCACAATTTTTGCATCTGCATGCTCTTGAAAATAGAGTTAAAGACTAAAGGAAAGCTGTGTGTTGATAATGGTTTCTGTTATATAGGCACAGCCATGGGGAATGATCATTGCCTTGAAATGGCTTTAACTCGTAAAATAGAATATAGAACATTTCTCACTCAAAACAAAATATTATTGATAAGTACTTAAACAATACCATCTGGATTCTGCCTACTTATTGATAAAATATTTAGCTCTTTGGTATTTTGCTTTTGAAACAGTTGGTGCTAGTATTAACACAGTTTTGGAGATAATTAATCAACAGATGTTTCCAAGCACATGGCAGAGACAAAAACAGCCTAATTTAAATTACTACAGCTGGGATTCTAAATGTTAGGCACAGAATTTGAAAGCATAGCTGCCTGTTAAATGTTAAACAGCAGCCTTCTGGCCATGCCTAGCATTTCTAAGTACCCCTTTACAGTAGTTATTATGTGGTTTGATGCTCATGAGATACTGTGAATAAAGTAAAGATGTCTCTGGCCAGGATCCTCACCTGAACCTAAACTATTTGATGATGTAACTGGCCTGCTGCCAGGCTACTGCTTCCACACCTGTAGGCAATTAGCTATTATTGATTGAGTCACTATATATATATAAAGAGCTCTGCCCAGTGCTCTGGGCGGAGGCAGAGATGGAGGGTTGTGGACCTGCAGACTGTTGGATGCAGACATAATTGTAGTGCTCAACCTATCACCAGGAAAACAAGCCCAGTAATAAACACTTTCACCCCAAGAACATTCCATTGTCATTCATTGGTCTCACTGAATCCATAGTGAACTTGCCCCGGACTGAAAACCATTGGCAAGACAGATGCCATCTTTATAAGCTTTTGTGTTTAGGTACAAGGTACTCTACTGACAAGCTGGTTTGGTCAGGAAATAAGCAGATTGTGGGTTCAGGTGTGTATGTTAGGTGGAGATGGCACAGGTGTTCCTAGAACTGCAGTGGGGAGTGGGGAGTAAAGTTCAGAGCTTTTGAGTATTTTAGGCAAGCCCAGATAGTGGAGGGTGGGGCAGTCTAGGATTATGGTTCTCTCTTTCGGGTCCAGGTAGCTGGCAAGCTAGGATGAAGAGAGTAGACTGATTGGCAAGAGGTTGTGGCTTGCATCTATGACTCCAGCATGAGGGTCCCGCTGTGAGAACTGAGCACTCAAGGAGCTCACTCTGAACTTGCTAGACTTTGCCTGAGATGGCCACCTGTTCCCAGTGCTTTCAGCTACATCCCCAGTCCTCAGGGGTCAAAGTGGGCTGCAGCCTCCCAGCTGTGACAGATGTCATCACCTCTTTGGGTACCAAGGGCCACTGCCACAGTGCCTTGAGGAAGCATGGGTCTTGGGACTCTAGTGGTTTCCACGTGTGGTCCCTGAACCAGCAGCAGCAGCAGTGCCTGGGAAAACTTGTTAGAGATGCAGATTAGCGAGCCCACCCTAGAGCTAGAAATTAGAAACTCTGGGTGGTAGGTTCCAGTGACTAGTGTCTTACTAAGCTCCTGGAGGAGCTTTGTGTTGAGGCTTGGGAACCCCTGATTTAGACCAGCTTCAGGCACTGCTGGTGCTTCTGGGACCACTTTGAGAACCAGTGTTCCAGAGTTTTCATAAGCAAGTCACCCAATTTATGAGTAAATCCAGTCATTAATTAACATATTACTGAATACCTAAGGGCTGTTTAATAATGATTACCTGCAATCAAGAGGACTGTGGGCAAATTTTTAAAAGTTTATGTATCTATATGTTGTTCAAAGTTGTTATCATGGGTTTTCTATTCTTTATGAAGTTTCCTGTGTCATGTGAAACATACTAAATAAATTTGTATGTTTTTTTAAAAAGTAATCAAACATGTATTACTTTTGTAGATTTAAAAATTAAATGATTTTTAAAAAAGTATCAATACCTTATTCTACTCTGGTTCTTTACAGAGATGCTTCTCACTGTATTGGGCAAACAAACCGCTGAAGAATCTTGCTAAAATGCAGATTGTGGTTCAGTACACTGGGGACACATCAGAGATGCTGCATTTTACAAGCAGCTCCCTGGCGATTCCAGTCTATAGGCCCAGGAGACACACTCTGGGTTTACAAAATACAAAGCTCTTCCTTTGTATTGACAAAAATACCTGTTTGTTTTTTTGGCACTACTTTGGTAGACAGATTCACTTACTCAACCAGGCCCTGGACATACTGATATGTTCCAATGGGTTGGAACATCACCAGCCACCCAAAAATCCGCATGTGAACAGATAAATAACTATAAAGTGATCAGAATTGACCAGGAAATAAAGAAGGTGCTGAAAAGGAAGGCTTCTAGGAGGAGGTGATTTCAGTAGAGATGAGTAGTAGGATGACCCACGGAAGAAAGACAGACTCTGGGCAGATACCAAGAAGCTCCTGCAGCTGGGGAGCTGGGAAGTAAGGGCCCCACATCAGGTTAGGGTAGGCAGGACCCACCAGAGCAGGAAGGGTGAGCAGTAGGGAGTGATTTCAGTCTACATTCTGGGTAAGCAGGGAGTGTTTAAGCAGGGAAGTGACTGGGCTAGCATTTGCCTAAGGGTCACTCTAGCTCTGCGTGGGAAAGGAAGGCTCTCCTGGGTCACCTGAGTTGGTGCAAGGAACGCTGGGGCATGCGGGGGCGCCCAGGAATCAAGCCCGATGCCCCCAGAGTTGCGCAGATCTACTTGGGAGTCAGGAATACCCGTATTAATAAATAGCTACGAGGGCACGTGTTTTTATTGCTGCGCTGAGGACCTTAAACTCGCGCGCTTTGGGGAATAGCGTGACTTTCCTTTTTCCCACTTTCAGAAGACGTGGGCTCCCACGTTTGGCATCTTGGACACTTCCCCTTAGCCTTCCCATCTGCCAGAGGGCTTTGGGTGACACCCGCGAGGAACACCTCGGGTCCTCAGACAAGCCTAACAGCTGGCACCGCCCGAGTAGAGACGGCCTCCAGCGGCATACGGGGCTGGCTTCCCATCCGCAAAACAGGCACGGTGGGGAGGGCGCGCGGGACCTCGAGACTCTCGCAAACTCCAAGCGGCCGGTCCCGGGTCGGCGCAGCTGCCCAGGCTGCCCGCCAGCAGTCTTCGCGCGGAGGCCCCCGCCCAGCTCCCCGGGGCGGGACCGGACCGCAGCCCCCGAGCCAGGCCCCAGACCCGCCGTTGGCGAGGGGAAGTGGGGTGCGGCACCGCGCAATCCCGGTTCTTCAGGTCCGGAGCAGCGTGCAGGACGCACCTCCACGGGGCCACGCTGCCAGACGCAGGCCTGCCTCCGGCGCCCCCGCGCCGACCCCGCCCCTCGGCGGCGTCCCCGCCCCTCGGCCGCCTCCTCGCAGGCCCGCGACGTGCCCGGTTGGCGACCGAGCGGCGACGACCGCGTCCGGCGCGCTCACTTCCGCGTCCCTCTGCGCTCCGGCCCGCGCGCGCCTGGCCACCGCCGCCATCGGACAATAGGCCGCCCGTGCGGCCCCGCCGCCGGGAGCTCCCTGCCGCCACCCCACTGGCCCGTGCGCCCCTGCCGCGCTTCCTTTCCGCGCCGGCCGGGACCACAGCTCGGCGGGCGTGCCGGGAGAGCCGCGGAGACCGAGTGTCCGGCCCCCGCGCCTTGGCTCTGGCCTCCGCGCTCTCCCGCGCCGGCGCCACCTCCGCCCCCCGCCGGCGGTTGCCGCTTTGTTGTGGGTTTCCAAGTTTGGTTGCTTGAGGAGTATGTGATTTTTTTTTCTGTTTTTCCTTTTGTGATTTGAAAAAGAGAAAAGACCGCTCAGCGGGGCGCTGCCAACCGCCCCCACGTGGATGCCTCCGAGGGAAGGGGAGTTGCAACAAACTTTGTCCAGCTGGCCTTGAGGACTCGGCTCTGGCCGCCTGGGGTCATGCCTCTCACGCCGGGCAGGTGGAAGGCTTTACCCGTCCTGGGCTGGACTTGAGCCGCGCCCTCCGCCGGCATCTCGCCGCCGACCCCCGCCGCACACGCGCCCGGCGCCTGGGGCCGGCCCTGACTGCGTTCCGCGGCATGGATAAGTACGATGACCTGGGCCTGGAGGCCAGTAAGTTCATTGAGGACCTGAACATGTACGAGGCCTCCAAGGATGGACTGTTTCGGGTGGACAAGGGCGCAGGCAACAACCCAGAGTTTGAGGAAACCCGCAGAGTGTTTGCCAACAAGATGGCCAGAATCCACCTCCAGCAGCAGCAACAGCTATTGCAGGAGGAGACCCCGCCCCGGGGGAGCAGAGGTCCGGTTGACGGTGGGGGCCGCCTGGGCTCACAGGCCCACCGGGAGGCTGCCGTGGGTGGTGCGGCCAAGCCCCCTCTTGCTGCCTCGACAGTGGGTTCTGGGACAGCCCCCAGCATCGCTGCTGGGCAGCCCGTGTACCCACCCCAGGAGCAGCGGGCCAGGCCGTATGTCCGAGGCATGAAGCACGGCAGCCAAGACTGTGGTTCCGAGGAGAGCCCAGCAAGTTCTGCAATGTCTGCCTTCCACAGGCTGGGCACCTGTGAAGATCCTTCCTGCCTCACCCACGGAGACTATTATGACAATCTCTCGTTAGTGAGCCCGAAGTGGGATGATGAACCAGGTGCGTCCCCCGACATCAGCCTAGAGGTAGGGAAGGGGCGGCCTGGTACCCCAGGGAGTGACCCACCACTGCTCAGAGCCTCCAGGGACCATCAGTTGTACCAGCCACAGCTCTCCTCAAGCTCCAGCAAGTCAGTTGAGAGCAGACAGGATGGTGGTGGTGGTGGTCGTCGTCGCAGTGAGAAGCCAGCGGGTCTTTGGGCCACAGCCTCCTCCCAGCGTGTGAGCCCTGGCCTTCCTTCCCCAAGCCCGGAGAATGGGGCCCTCTTGGGGCCCTCTCAGCCCAGGACCCCTTTCTTAGCACCCCTGGCTCTGTGCTGCCCCAGTCAAGGAGCTGTTGCAAGAACAGACCCAGGGGTAGGGAGTGAGGTTTCAGGGGTGGTGCCCAAACCCACTGTGGATCCTCAGCCCTGGTTCCAGGATGGGCCCACATCCTACCTTTCTCGTTCTGCTCCACCGTCCTCCCCAGCCAGCACAGATAGTTTGCAGCTGGGGGCAGCCCCTGGGCCGGGCCTCAAGCCTGTCTGCACGGACCCTGGCGTTGGTCCCAAACTCAGCCCCACCAGCCTTATCCATCCAGCAGTGTCCACCCCACTTGAGTTATCATGTAAAGAAGGACCCACTGGCTGGTCCCCTGATGGCAGCTTGGGGCCTGTGCTCCTGGAGAGCCCCCCCAGGGTGAGGCTGCCCTGCCAGACCCTCATCTCGGACCCTGCCCTTGGACCCTCAGCAGCGGAACTGAAATTAGAAGCTCTTACCCAACGTCTGGAGCGTGAGATGGATGCTCACCCGAAGGCCGATTACTTTGGTGAGTGAGAGGCTGGTGGAGTTGCCCGTGGTGGGTGACAGGGTCTCTGCGTTTGGGGGAAGCGCTGCCCATCAGGGTTGCTGTAGTTCTCGAGAGGTCCGCCTTTTTTTTTTTTTCTTCCTCTTTTAGCTGCTTCTGATTCAGAAACTTCAAAGCATCCCTAGGCAGAAAGCGGATCTTGTAGCTGGTGGTTACCCATGTATGAAGGGTGAAGTGGGGTGGGATTGCTCATTATTCAAAAGAGGGAAATGCTGTGCCTTTGGATTTCAAGGTTTTGGGTGTTGCTTAGAGCCTTTCATAATGACTGGTTCATGCAGGACTTGACTGGGAGCAGCTTTTCAGGTCCAGGTACACCTGAGTGTGCCATCAGTAGTTGGCTGGGCCAGGCAGGCCTGGCCATCGGAGGACCGATGGTTGAGCAGGGACTCTCAACGGCTGTGTGTGTGTGTGTGTGTGTGTGCAGGTGAAACACTAACAGGGTGACTGTTGTAGAGCAGTGGTTCTTGTGTGTGTGTGTGTGTGTGTGTGCGTGTGCGCGCGCATGCAGGTGAAACACTAACAGGGTGACTGTTGTAGAGCAGTGGTTCTCAAAGTGTGGTCTCGGCCGGCCAGCAGCATCCCTTCACCTGGGAACTGCTTAGAAATGGAAAATACAGGGCCCTACCCCAGATCTACTGCATCAGAGACCCTTGGGGTGGGGGAGAACCTGGCAATCAGAGCTTTCAGAGCCAGCTGGGTGATCCTGAGGATTGGGGAAATTTGAGACCAAGGCCTCCTAACTCAGGCGCCCACCCCAGGTTACACCCTCAGCCCACAGAGGGATGGAAGAGGCTCCGTGCTGGTTTACTCAAACTTGCAGGTTTTGTTTTATTCTCTTTTTAAAGCCACAAACTTGGAGACTGCTGGCTTCAGCTTTTTGTTTTTCTCTGCACAGGGTTTGGAGGCAGCAAGAAAGCAGCTATCTTTTGTGGTGTAAGGATGTAGCCGTCTCATGGGAGAGCTAGCTGGAAAGACAGCCTATTTTTAGAAGGGTCTAGAGGGTTGTTTTTGTTTTTTTTCATTTTTGAACTCTGGATAATTAGGGTCTTGGTGTCCCCATATGAGGCCTGAGAGCACTGGGAAGCTGTGTCTCCATGGGGTGGAAGCTCTGCTGAATGGCGGGGGGCCAGGTCAGGGATGGCTGGAAGGGGAAGATGGCTGGCTTGCTGCTTTCAGGCTACTCTGTTCTCTGAGAAGGAAGGATTCTGTCCTGAGTGCTTTGAGGGTCAGGTCCGAGGCACCTGTTGTGTTCTTGGTCCTCCTGAGAGCCTCATGGAACCAGCTGTCACATCTTGCTGGGCAGTCAGAGGTCAGGGTGACTGTTGATTGGTTTATGTTTTAGAGCATGTAGCACCATCTTATTGTGAACTCTCTTCTCTTTTGCAAATTTCCCCCTGTGGGAATAATACTTAGCTGGTCATCTTTTGTTTAATTTTTAATTTCAAATTCATTAAACAACCAAATAGCAGTTTTATTTTTTCAGGAAGGCAAGTTTACACACCAGATCAAAACAGAGATAGTAGCTAACTAACACCATTCATTCAACTTATATCTATTGAGCACATGCTCTGTTCAAGGCCTTGGATACATAGTGAACAGGGCAGACAGAAATGTTAGTCTCCCTAGAGCAGACAGTGCAGTAGAAGACAGCAGATGAACAAAATAAATAAGCAAATTCTAGAAAGAGAAATAGGTAGAGGAGGGGATGGAGCCTTGGGGCTGGGGGCTGGGGTCATTTCTGGTTTTAAATCAGGTGGGCAGGGAGGGCCCCATCATGAAGGTGGCATTTGAGCAAAGGCTTGAAGGAGGTGAGGGAGTGGACCACGTGTCTGCCCAGGGAAAGGGTGTTCTCAGCAGGGCAGACAGCAAGAGCAGAGGTACCAGGCCCTGTGCTAGACACTTAACTTGATTTACTTGTTGCAACAACCCTAAGAAGCAGATTCTGTCCCTATGCCTCTTTCACCAACTAGGAAAATGAAGCCCAGGGAGGTTAGGTTACGTGTCTGAGGTCTCACAGGTGTTGCTGGGTGGGGCTGGTATTTGAGCCTCACAGCTGAGCTGTAGTGTCCATGCTTCTCACCAGCATCGCCAAACTGCCTCGCAAGCACAGACGGGCAAAATGTTTGTTTGTTTGTTTATTCATTCATTCATTCATTCATTCATTTTGTATCGCTTTTTAAGAATAATTGAGATGAACTCCACATAACAAAATTAACCATTTTAAAGTGAGTGGTTCTGTGGCATTTAGTGCATTCACAGTGTTGTGCAAACACTAACTCTCCTAGTTCCAAAACATTTTCATCACCCCAAAAGGAAACCCCATGCCATAAAGCATTGCGCCCCCCTTCCTCCTCTCCCAGCCCTTGCAAACCACTAATAGGCCCTCTGTCTCTATGAATTTACCTATTCTGGATATTTAATATAAACAGAATGATTTTATTTTTTGACTAAACATTACATTTACATGTAGAAAATGCACAAGACACAAAAACACAAGCAGTGATAAATTAATCTCCTCACCCATGTTTCGCACGTGTCCTGGGTGTAATGAATATATGTGTGTGAATCTGTCGGCCACAGTGGTGGCTCGCCATCTGCCTGGTCTTTGCCACTGAACAGTGTGCCTTGGCAGTTGTTCTGCAGAAGCACATGTTGAGTTAGCCCCGTGTAACCGCTGTGTGGACGTGCCCCAGGTCACATAAGCAGCCTTCTCTGTGGACCTTCAGAAGGAGCCATCTGCAAGGTGCAAGCCTAGCTGTGGGATAAACTGCCGGGGTGGGATTGTAGGGCAGAGGGCTCTGTGCCTCTAAACGCTGCCTAGTTGCTCTCCGAGGCGCTTGCACCAGGTCCCCACTGCCCGTCGTACAGGAGAGGGCTTGCTTTGGCAGCCAAGCTTCCATCTGCTCTGTGGCCAGCCATGTGGCAGGGGAAGAAGTCTCTCTTCTGAGTGCCTGGCAGTCAGTTCTCGGCCTAGCCCTGCTGCGTGACCCAAACAAACCCTGGTCTCTTCTAGGCCTCAGCCATCAACTGTCGAGGTGGCTGGACCACGACAATACCTTTGCCTTTCCTGCATCTGGTAGTACCTGAAAGATTTTGTCTGTCCAACACACTACATTTGTTAAGTAATGATGAAATCTTACTTCCAAACAGAACAATGTCTAATGATACAGGGGACCTTGCCAGAGAGAGTAACGTAACTGTCACATCAGGGTCATTGTAGTTAGCAGCCAGAAGCAAAGCAAAGTAGATGTTTTGGTTGGTTCCCTGCACTCCTTTGTGGATCAAACAAAAGGTGTCCCAGTGGGTGTTTGACACTGTGGGAAGAGCTCGTGAATTCCTGCTACCACCTTTGAGAACACTTAGGTCTGAAGTTATTTCAGCTATTGAATCAGCAACTCTGTTTCCAGTTATTGATCAACGTGTCACTGGGGATTCTTCTGGCACTTTCCATGGTTGTCTTTGTGGATTTGGCAGTGTGGTCCCAGGGAGGCGTTTCTTCCCCCTCTTCCTTTTCCAGTATTCCTCTAGGGATTCTTTGTGTCTTTCTGTCCAGGAGGAAAGATTTAAGGACAAACTCCTGATGCTGCTTGGAGAATGTTGTGGGTTTTCTGCCTTCCCAGCCTCGCTCTTGGAAGGTGCCTCCTGATGCAGGGTGGCTTCTGTTTTAACACCACTGTTTACACTGCAGAGGAAGTGAAGAGGACACCGGGTGTTAGTTTGCTCTTTTCCGGCCTTTTCCTGCATGGTTCCCTGTGTCTGCTCACACTGGTCCTCACCCACTTCCTAAGGAGAGAAGACACAAGCCGCCTGTCACAGGCCAGGTTTCCCAGGAGGCCCACTCTTCTACTTCAGTGTATAGGGGCTCCTCAGGGGTGCTTAGGTGATGGTCCTGTGTGGCGGGGGAGGGAAGGAAGCAGGCAGAGGAGGCTCCCCTGGTGGCAGGGGCCTGCCAGGCTATGGCGTCCCCACAGGAGGCTCAGGAGGTGAAAAAGCCCTGGAGCACTGTCCTGATTTGGGGCGAGATGGCCTGGTCTTCACTCAGCCCCCCCATGGATCAGTCATCAGATGTGGCCACCCAGGGAAGGGGATGACATCAGGGGAGGGGGCCCTGTGCACCTGGCAGTGCCTAAAGGGGCTGACAGATGAGCACCCCCCCCCTCTGCCCAGCTGCACCCCCAGCAGCTGGGCCACACAGTTCCTTCTATGCGGGGAGCTGGTGGGGCACTCAGCATCCACTGCAGCCCCTGTTGTCCCGTATGTAAGACCCCACTCACGGCGACCCGGGCATCATGGCTCCAGTGCTGGCAGCCACCCTTTGAAAGCCCACATCATGCCAGGCATTGGGTAAGTGCTTTGTGCTATTGTCACTTAACCTGCACAGCCAGGCACCATTATTCTCTGCTTACAGTTGAAAAACAGCCCATGACTTGTTCAAGACCACCCAGGTGTAAGTGGGTATCCCACACCCCTGGGAAATGTGTCTGCTGGTGTGGTGGGGCTGGGGCTTTCAGGTCCGAGGGGGATGCTGTCTACTTGGCTCTCCAGATTCACTCTCCGTCCAGCTGCTGCTGGGGCATCTGTGGGCTCCCTGCCCTTCCCGGACCTTCTTCCCTGACGCTTGGGACCCTGTGCCTGTCCTCTTTGCTGTGGGTGGGTCTGGGGGATTTGTCACTGTTGCCTCTTCCAAGGAGAGAACTGCACTCTGCCACAGAGGTTGGGGGTCTCTGCCAACTCTGTTCAGCACCAGCAGGGTGGCGAGGCAAGAAGAAGTTGGTTCCAGGGTTTCCTTCACCCAGCAAATGGGTGGACTGGCCCCCTCCCCACCCTGCTGGGCACAGAAGAGCCTGGCTCTGCCCTTAGTCTTCCTGTTTTCAGTGGATGTTCCTGCTGCAGTATTTGAACCCATAAAACTGCAACAGTCTTAGCCTGGGAGCCTGAAAACAGATGTGACTCCTTCTGGG